GTGTGTGTGTGTGTGTTTTAGAGCGAATGTACATGCATGTGTTTGAACATACATGCAAGCATGTTTGAATGTGTGCATATATATTTACCCATGAGTGTGTACATGTCATGTAAAGGTCTGGTCTGTGTGCGTTGTTGTTTGAGTGTGTGCGCGCGTGTGTGTGTGTGTATATGTATAAGCACTCAAATGTCTGTGCTGATCACTGTGACCCAGTGAGAAGTGCTTACTCCAGCACTCTGTTCTGGGGGAGGCAGCGCTGGCTCAACGGTGGCTCCAGTGATGAAAGCAGCTGTAACAGCAATATTATCTCCAGGTCCACACACTACTGTACCAGCGACAGTGACAATCTCTACTGTTTCATGTAATGTTCCCTGAGCCCTGAGCTCTTTAACAAATCATAATACAGACTGTGACACTAGAGGTTATGTTGTATCCATTAAGTGAGACTCAGCAGCATTTTACTTAAAGTGTATTTTGAAACTCTATAACCAACTGCTGGCACACAGAAGTAAGAGAAACAGCATTTTTTTTTTTTTTGGCTTAAATACAAGATGAAAGAACAGGGTAATTATTATGAACAGCAATGTACACATGGTTGCTAAATATACAACAAAAATATTCTAAAGAAAGAAAAAGGCAATAAGTTGGTTTTCAGAATGAAACAGCCCTGCATAAAAAAATGCAAGTAGCTGCGTTTGTAGGGACATGTTGCTTCAGGTATGGCTGACACAGTGAAATACGACGCAGGAATTCTCGTTGGAGAAATAGAGCGGTAACTTTGAAGGTCTATCAGTCACCGAAAACACTGCACAGTTGTTTACTGCATTACCTGGAAGGATTTTTTTACCAAGGAAAGTTATCGTGGTGACAATCATTTTATCTTTTGTCGCATCAATTGCGAGGTAGCAGGTTTTACTTGGAAAAAAAACAAAAAATCAGGCATTTGTTTGGCAAACACAGTGCCATACCAGATGATGTCACATTGCGTTGACAGTGATAGTAGAGACAGGAAAGGCAGGAGAGGGAGAGAGAGGAAGACATGTAGCAAAGCCCGGGTAACAACGCCTTGACACAAGATATACACTCTACCCAGTGAGCTGCTGGGGAACCCCTGGTGCACTTCCTATACGTGACAAAGTATAGGAAGTTTAGTGTCACTAAAAAAACATTAGAAGAATGCTACTTTAAGGACAAGAATCCCTTCTTTAAAGAGAAGATGTCATTGTGATAATATGCTATAAAATGGCAACAAGTAGTTACAAATAGTTGAAACGTGTGATACGTTTTTTGTCTCTTTTGTCATTCAGGAGCCTAACTCTCCTGCAGGCAGCCCTCCTCACTCTCCCCACGGGAACGGGTTAGACCGGGCTCCTACTCTAAGGAAAGAGCTCCCGGGCTCCTCAAGCACAGGAGAGGCCCCCTCCACCCCAAA